GGTGATTTCCGAAATAGCTATCACTTCTACCATTTTTTCAAATTATTGTTGCTTTTCCACAATAAGTTTTCACTAGAAACGGCCTCAAGCTCATAAAAATTGTTGAATATAAATGTTATAAGGCCAAAAAATAACAAAAACAAATTACGGAAAAAATTTTTTTTTTATTCTTTTGTTAAAATTTGAATTATTTTAATTATTTTTATCAAAAAAACAAAAAATCAGGAATTATTAACTAGTTTCTCAGAGACTATCAGGCCTATCGAAGAGTGATGTATTTAGTGATGGTTTATGGAGAATTTGATTAGCTTTACTTCGTATTACGATTGTTCAATTGGTTCGAAAGATATACGTGATTAAGTAGAACCACTATTTTTCAGGCTGAATAACGGTAAATTGCAAATACCTCAGAAATTTATCCATAGAGAGAAAAATTAACTTAAGATTTAGTAATTGAATGGGAAGCTGATAGCACACCTTGTGGTACGTTATAATCAGGGAACGGATTTTTAGGACCTAAAATTCTATAAAAAAGGCAAAATCAAATAACGAAATAGGCAGGAAAATGCACTAGAAATAGCAAAAAAGGCAAAATAAGGCACTAAATAAAGTAATGTAAAAAAAATATTTTTTTAAAAATAAGCTTTTATTTAACATGTTTAATCAAAGGAATAAAATAAAGTAGTGAAACAAAAGAATAAAATAAAATAAGTTACGGTCTCGTTAAAGTTACTAAAAGCCATTTAGTGAAAGGAGTTATTCAAACTCTAATGAAAATTACTAATAATTTGTACTAATTTACTTCGTTTTTAAAAAAGCTTGTCGCGCGAATAGCAAACCGGCATTTAAATATCTGCATACATACATATAAATACATACATACATACCTAACCAATTATGCATGTACGCTGAATTCGCCGACAAGCTTTTTTAAAAACGAAGTAAATTAGTACAAATTGTTAGTAATTTTCATTAGAGTTTGAATAACTCCTTTCACTAAATGGCTTTTAGTAACTTTAACGAGACCTTAACTTATTTTATTTTATTCATTTTAGTGCAGTTTTGACCAAATTTTCTTGCTAAAAAATCTTTTGTTTCACTACTTTATTTTATTCCTTTGATTAAACATGTTAAATAAAAGCTTATTTTAAAAAAAATATATTTTTTACATTACTTTATTTTCTAATTTTTAGTCCATTTATAAAAGCGTTGTATATTAAATAGTTTTATTTTATTTTATGTACAAAATTTTGCAATAGATATTAAAATAATTCAATTAGCAATGGAAGAGAACAGAAGACTATGCAAGCAAAATGTTGTTTGCTTACGTTTTGTATAAACATACATATATACATACATACATATAGCAGCAGTTAATTTCATTTAAAGAAATGGCGTGTCGTCCACTTCCGCTGTAGCATGGCATATATTTAGGCGCAATATTAAAGTTCTTCTGGCGGGGAAACTTCTCGAGTCTTCTAATTGTATCTCCTTGATATGATGCCTACAACGAGGTTCATATCTAGACTAGGTTGATATCTAGAATTTGCCATAAATAGCTTTGCTCTCGTTTTACGTTCTTTGGCAAATTACGCTCTGTTAGCCATAAATTTTACTAATTTTTGACCGACTTTGAATCAAGACCCCTGGACCATATAGGGAATTCATTTATATTTTAAATTGCATTGTCATCGTGATTGGAACTATGCTGAAAATTTCAAGTTTCTAACTTGTCGGGAAGTTAGTTTAAAATCGATTGGAAATTTCCACGATTTGCGCGGGATGACCAAGTTAAATAAAAGCTTATAAATAATAAAAAGACAAAAACTTAAAAATGACACTGGTTTACAGGAAAAATGTTCGACGGACGTCACTACATATCCAATTCCTATATAGAATTGTTTGCTGATTCCGAAAATCGAGTTAATTTTTTATTCTATGGACTAGCTTTTGCCCGCGACTTCGTATGCGTGGAATTTAGAATCTATAGATAATATTTTTAATTTTACGGAGACAGTTGAGAATCAAATACCAATAAAAAAGACTGGGATGGATAGGTAAAAACGTTTATTGTTATCCAAAACGAAACAATAAAAACTAAAGAATTTCTTTATATACAACATTTGATGTTCTACCCATATTAGCCATTATAAACAAATTGTCCGAGCTAGTTACGCGTGAGCAAGCAACATATAGTTGTCCGTGTGAGAAACAGTTCGTTCTGAGATCGACACCGGCGGCTCGAAGTGTCTGACCTTGCGACTTGTTGATGGTCATAGCGAAACATACGCTCACGGGAAACTGCACACGTTTAAATTGGAATGGGAAATTGTTTGGAATTAGGGGTATGCGTGGTATGAAAACTACTTCACCAGCTCCACAGCCCGTAAGAATTTCTGCTTCTATAATATTATTTCGAAGCGACATCACTTTAAGGCGGGTTCCATTGCATAACTTTGGAGGGGTTAAGTTCCGAAGCAACATAATCGGAATACCCACTTTCAGGACGATGTTATGCGCAGGGAGTCCGGGGGCAGAAAGAGAATTAAGAAACTCTACTGGATAAGTGGTAGCATCGGTTCGGTCCAAAACTATGTTTATTGACCGGTATATCACCTCGTCTCCTGCAACTTTTTCCAAAATGCTGTGATTTATGGCAGCTGCTTGGTCATTTTTGGGCGTAAGTATTGCTCGCTCGCAAAGCCAAGAATTGTTGTCCTTATGCGTTATTTGAGATACATCTCCATAAACTGAATAAATTAGTTCCTCCACCGAAGGTACAATCTTACAAAGATTCTCTGGTAGGGTTACTAATCCATTCGATTCGGGAAATGAACCTTCGCCGATTTTTAGCAAAGCATCTGAAAATTCTTGCGCACGGGGGTTGCCGCCTAAGTGTGCTCTCATGTTGCGCGTCAGACTCAATTTCTGCACCCGTGGCCAGAGTACGGAGCATTTGAGGCATGCGTTCACCTCATCAGCTCTGGTTCCGCGGGTTATAACGGGTAGAGTCTGACGGAAATCCCCACAAAACAAAACAGTTATTCTTCCCATGATGTGATTGTTTCGTCGGATGTCTTGGAGAGTGCGATTGACTGCTTCCACGGCCTTCTTGTGCGCCATCGTACACTCATCCCAAACGATTAGGCTGCACTCTGCAAGAATCTTCGCCTTTTCACTATTTCGCGATACGGCACAAACTGGGGTTTCATTTATATCGAGGTTCAAGGGTATCTTAAACATAGTGTGGGCAGTTTTGCCTCCAGGGAGTAAAGTGGCAGCAATACCCGATGAGGCGACAGCTAGTGCTATCTTCCCTTGTCGTCTCACTTCAGCTAGTAGTAGTCGAGTCAAAAAGGTTTTGCCTGTACCACCAGGGGCGTCCAAAAAAAATGTTTCGCCATCCTGTTTATTGACACTTGTTAATATTTTGTTATATACAGACTTTTGTTCATCGGTAAGGGTCCCAGAATTATTGTTTACAATTTCGGTCATCGCAGAATAACTGTAATTTGTCTCCGCTGCATACTCTCTACTAACTCGCTGAGCTTCCGTGGTTTCCTGCGGCTCTGGAAGACCGTAATGACTCAAAGGATTGCCACTTATTGAAATAACAATGTCTTGAAGCGACGAAAGACAACGATTAATAACACGCTCATCAGAACCTGCAATACTATCTCCATCAGCTCGCCTAGCCGCGAAGAGAAAGTCTTCTAACAGATGCCGCTGATATTTCTCCCATAGCTGTACAGGATGGGAAAGTCCGCAGAACACTATCATAACTGCAAACAAATGCCGCAGTCGACTGGGAGTTTCACTGACAACGGCCTCTTCAAGAGTTTCAAACCAATTTCGGTCGTCATCTAGCAGACACAGTGCACAGCAAGCTCCGTGAAAGGTAGAATGTTCAACGCCATTGACAGTCTTCAAATATTTATATGAAGTGGCTCCCCTGACTGTGTGCAACAAAAGCCGCAAGTAATAGCACTCACTATTACTTGGATGCACCGTATACACTCGTCCTATTGCGTTCTCGCGATGGACATCTGGAAACCCCTCCACAGGCTGACCGCGTCGGCGTCTATTAAATACTCCTCTTTGTTTATTGTATGTGTAGTAGGACGGTATTTCATTGTACAGGAGCGTTTGTGCAAAACTATCTTGTTGACACAGATTGAAATACGCCAAGAGTGTGGTAGAGGGAGGATTTTCTAGACGTTCCCTTACATTTTCAGGATTAAAATACACCCGCTGCCCGTTTTCCAAATGGACATCTAAATGCATTACAGGAGGATGTCGTTCGTGGATGGAAAAGCCAAGTATTCGCCACACTGCTTCCGAAGTACTTATATAGCGACCTGATTGATATTTGGTCACCTCGTCACGATCACTGCTCTGTAAACCAAATGTCGCTTGGTCGCTTCCCTTATTTACGTACTTGCAGATATACTTTATCGATTCCACGCTAGCGCAGTATTCTACATTCAGATGAGTTTCAAATGCTCGAGAAAGTACTGGCGAATAAGGCACTACCCACCGATTGTCAACTGAAACGTATTGTCCGCGCATATTTACTTCGGCAGTGAAACCGCCATTTTGAGGTGCTCGGCGGCGGTAAGATGGGTATCCATTTTCACCAGTAACAGTTTCGTTTACGAACTTTTTCGGAAACCTCTTCGTACAAAGGCCTTCCTTCATGCAAGGTGAGTTTGTATTGAATGAGCCACATGGGCCATGAATCATGTTGGTTTTGACAATGTTGTGTAGAATGGGATCGGTGTCTGGGTTCGGGATTTCCGCACTAATAACTCGATCAATTTCGTTCGGCCTAATCTTCTCTTCGAGCCATAAAAGGTTGTGCGAATGAGGCAACCCACGCTTTTGCCATTCGATTGAAAACATATAGCAGCGGACCGCTCCGAATAGTTTTTCTTTTGTAAGAAGATATATCAAGCGTTTTTGTTTTAAATGAAACACTCGAGAAATCAAGTCGTGCCTGTCGTATGAAACCTGGCCAGGAAGCAAGTTGTTTTCTATTTCGAGCCATTTAGGATTGGTTGTCATAGTTATAAACAAATCTGCGCCCCCATACTTTCTAACATAGCAAAAGGCGTCTTGAGTTCGCTCGGCCATGTATCTGGGACTACCAGTGAATGTGGAAGGGAGAATTATCATCCTACCTAAGTTTTCTGCATCAGCATCGTGTTGTAACGCATCTCTTAGGTCTATGTAATTTTCCGCACGTAGTTTCTTCTGATTGGCGCGTATGAATACTAATCGTTCAGTTTCAATTTTTGCATATACATCCACTAAAAATTGATTAAAAAGGCCCCGAAACCGGTGTAAGAAGATGTGTTCATTCTCGCGTAATTGGATTAAAAAACTGTAGAACTGCATTGCAGAAGTTTTTTTATTAAAATTCGGAGCACCCGTGCGAGGATCAACATTATATACGCCAAAATTGTATCCGTCTTCACCACGACAAAACATTAAAGGATACTGCAACGAATCATAAGCGCGATGAGTCTCACTGATTCTTTGAAGTCGATCGTCATGAGTGCATATCACAATGTCCCTCCGATCGCAATCCTGGTCGACTAACAGGACAGCGACTTCATTTGTGGTTGGTGCATTATAGCGACCCGGATGTGATCCAATTGGCCTTTTATCAGCAGTAATTACAAACTTGTAATTACTGCACTCGTCATCTGAGACGGATTCAAGTGCCGCTTTAAAGCTGTTGACGTACGGGTTCACATTATGAAGCATATTTTGTAGACTGCTTACCAAACCCGAGTCTAAATTAGGGATATGTTGCTGCCTAATATTTGCTTGCTCTTGGTAATTATCTACAAAGTATATTTGCAGAAACCTTGGAACATCGGTCGGTAACAAAGAGCCGATTAGATGGTAGACTTGACCCTGTATCTTGAAAGTAGGCATAAATGCCCCCTCAATGATCTGATTTGCTCCAAATGAAGTCATCTGGTATGCACTGTTATAGGCCCGTATATTGCTTAAAAAGTGTTTCGATTGCGGATGTTCTCCATTCAACAATCCTTTCAAAGGTTCTGGTGGTTCTTGTATCCTTTCTAAATGAACTTTGCCAGATGAGCAACACATTCCTTTGGGTTCTCCATCCCACTTCAGGGCACGGCAATGCGCGCATCTTTTGTTCCTTGAGCCAAGATTAGTATTATCGGCATATTTTATTAACGGGTTATAATAAAATGCACTTTTTTCTATTTCTGTCCATTGTAAATCTTCCGAATCGCATACCATGGAAGCATCATCATCGCGAACAGGCAGCCTAAGAACGACATGGCGCATACGGTCTTCCTCTAAGTGCACCATTCGGATGTCAATGTGTTGTGATTGTCGCAGTTCTTGCACACGACTCCTTTCTTCTTCCTGGTGATGAGCGTTAATTTCCTGTCTATCACAGTAACGAATTCGAGAAGCAGATAAACGCAAGTCTCTTTCCTCATGCGTTTCTACAGAACGCGAGATTTCATGTTGCGTGCGATCAGCAGACATACGCGACACCGTTTCCTCATGCGTTTCTACAGAACGTGAGATTTCGTGGCGGATGCGGTCAGCAGACAAACGCGACTCTCTTTCCTCATTTGTTTCTAGAGTGCGCGTGATTTCGTGGCGGGTGCGGTCAGCAGACAAACGCGACACTCTTTCCTCATGCGTTTCTAGAG